AGGCTGCAATGAAGCAGACAGCTTAGAACTTCCGTGTCAGCGGTCAGCCTTTTCTTTGATTGATGCTCTTAGGGGTAATGTCAGCTGAAGCTCTGTGTCACCTGAGTGCAGGAGGATTTATGCTGATTTGTATAACAGATCATAGATTTGCTGCAAATAAATAATGGATGTTAAGGCTGGGGTGGAGGCAGTTTTGAGGGTGGACCAAGAATATCCCCCCCAGTACCTGTAGGAAAGTTATCAAGAAGATGGTGCCAGGCTATGCATGGCAGCACATAGTGGGAAGATGAGACCCAACAGCCATTTATTGAAACAAGAGAGGAGCAAGCTGTACACAGGAAGAAACATTTTCTCCATGGGGGCAGTCAGACAGTGGAGCAGTGGAGCAAGTGCCCAGAGAGGTTGTGTGCTCTCTGTCCTTGGAGGTTTTCAAGACCCAGTTGATCACAGCCCTGAGTGTTCTGGTCTGACCTCATGGCTGAGCCTATTTTGAGCAGGAGGTTGGACTAGAGACATCCTGAGGTCCCTTCCAACCTAAAGTATCCTCTGATCCCATGACAACTTACACCACAGAACTTTACCACGTAATTTCATGAGGAAGCAAATATATTTTGCTTTAGTGGAATTATATATCTCTTAGAAATTATTTCATCTTCGATTAAAAAATTCTGTCCTGTAATAACTATTTTGTTAATTATGCTTGTGGTTTAGAAAATGGATGACAACTTAGTTCAGAACTCTTCATTCTAAAAGTCATAGTAAAACTAAATGCCTCTTACCCTTTCACTGTTTTTCTTCTCTTCCTCTCCAGAAAAAGTCCCCAAATAGAATTAAAAAATCCCCTGATTGTTAAGTGAAATATCAGTATAGAGGACAATATTTATTGGTCCAACTTTACATTCCATTTCAGTGTTTTTAACTTATTTCCTTAATTTAAATGCAATGTCTTTTGTTCTTATTCAAAGAAGGTTCTGTTAAGTCATTGGGGCACATCTTGTAGAATAGGGGTCAATTATGGGCCACATAGGGCACATTAGTTTTCAGACATATGTTGGACTGACAGCTGGAAGTTCCCATCATCTCATTCTAGGGGTTAATACACAATAATAACTGATTATTTTGTGTCTGCAAAAGTCAAAGAGGAAAATATTTTTATATTCTTAGAAATGCTATATTATATTGCAGAAATGAAGTTGTAGAAATTACAAGAGGAGAATAAATAGCATGACATTGTTCCAAGGTATCTATTAGGAATTCTCTGAGACAAATCCATGCTAGAAATTCAAGCACGTTTTTTGTTTGGAACTTGAAATGATCTAATGCACATGGCTCAGTTTTTATTCACCATGTACGAGATCAGGTATATATTAAAGTCACAAGTGAGAGGATAAGATTTTGAAATCTCTAGGTTGTTTTCGATATTTAACTGGAAGGAGAATGTGATAAGAATCACATTCACATGGTATTTGAAAAAAGAATAGGGTTATATCATGCTGTCAACTCTGCCAGCTTTATTTACCTAACTCTTCAGCTAATACCACTGATAATGTCAATAAGGCTATTCATTTGGTAAAGGAAGGTTTAGGTCAGTAATGATGGCAGAGGTAACATAAATTTAACTTGCTTGTCCCTACACCATGAAATAAATTTTCTCTTTAAACATAGCCCCATCTTTTGCCTCTTTTTCTCATTCTCGGTGGTGTCGTACTCCAACTGTGTTAAGGTACTTAGCAGAGAAACACAAACACCAGGAATGAATTAATCTCATATAGTTTAGCTATCTAAAAGCTGCACCAATCTGAAGCAGTTGCTTTGGCTACTTCTAAGATTGCGGTAAAGTGTAGGTGTTCTATCAAAGCTGTTCATCCCATCACAGGAATATCTAGTTGACTAACTTAGTTTGTTTGCCTTCTAGTTAGTTAAGGCTAAATGTGATGAGCCCCGCTATAAGCGTGGTAGAATTTAATCTTCGCTTTGCATATTTTTATGTATTGACTTTTCTAGGTGAAGCTGAATAAATTAAGGTGATGTTTTAGCATTTTAAAACAGCCTGTGAGTCATTACAGTATATTATGTATTCTAAGAAACATATATTCTCCCAGATATTAAAAATAATAAGATTTTTAATGTCTAAATTATCAATCATCAGTTGCAATTTGTATATTATGTAGCAGATTCGTTCCTGCTCAACAACTTTCTGAGTAGTCATTTACTTTACTGTGCCACAAAGTGGGATGCAAGCCAGCAACATGAACAACATAGAATAATGATACAGGGTACAAACCTATCACTAGCACACCTTCAGCTCAAATATTTACTGTATGTAATGCTTTTGGTCCTGCAATGCACAAAGAATCTTTTGTCTAGATAGCCAATAGAAATCATGGAGATCACTTCATATTTTCTGCAGAAGGCACTAAGATTAGCCAGAGCAGAAAAATACCAAAGTGTCAGTCCTGATTATGCAAACATTAATTCAGAACAAAGATTTTGCTTTTATAGCTGTATGATTTTTAACAAGTACACTGTTTCTCAGAAATAAGAGAAAAGCCCAAACCCAGTTACAGTCCTGAACACACTCCTGCACACATTTCCCAAGTCTGTTGGCCATATATTTAAAGTGAGCCTGTTAGTCAGGGATTACTGAGCCCAGGAAAGACAAAGTGACATTAACGGTGGTAGAGCTATGCAGTCAGACCTATAGCTGCAGAATTCATACACCTGATATGTTCTTTGAATATGCTGCTTCAGCGACACTTGCAGTGAGGGGAGTAATTTTTTTTCTTCAGATCTCTATTCTAAGAGGGAAATATCTGGACCTTGCTCATGGTCAAGTGGCTGAGAGACACCAATAACTTGCCTTATATGAAGTAGACTAGTTTTATTGTTAATTATTTTTAACATCTCTCCATTCAACTTTGTGCTTGGAACAAGATCAGGTCCCCTCTTCCATAGCTCCCCCACCCATGTCTGTTAGATGATGCTACCTCAGGGTTCCTTTGAGCTGCATTATTTGTATTTGACTTTCAGAACTTCAGCCCTCTGTTTTATACTGTCAGTAGGTCCAGCTTTCAGCAGACCGTGCTGGCTCTTCGGATGTTTTAAATGGAACAATGCATTATTCATATGCCATAATATGAATTCATGGCCCTTCCACAAAGGAAATTACTTCTACCTACTTCTAAGACTTCTCCCATTCAAGAAAATTAAATGAAGACCTCAGAGATGGTTTTAATTGCTTACGACTCAGTTGAGAAACTTCTAAGAATGAGTTTCTTTTTGTAATGTAACTTGAGAGCTCATTCATTGAATGTAATTATGCTGTATGATGGATTGGAAAGTATAAGTGGAGAGCTAAATAAGATGGAGATGACAAAATAATGGTAATAAAAATAATAGTGCTTGGGTTATATGATACTTCCTCACAGTGTACAACACCACAGTGTCACTGTCTTTGAATGCTAATGTAGCCTCGTGGCTCCTTCCTGTAGCATATATTTAGCAAATGGCATGCCTTGTCTCTTCTGGACTTTTAGTGTACAAATGGCTTGGTTGCATGTTTTGGAGCTCTTTGGACAGGTGGGAGTAAGAAGGCATTTTGTCCTCTCTGTGGGGTGACTGCAGACCTGATTCCTTGGAGTCAATGTGCTACCCCTCTTATCTGTGAGAACGGGTGGTAATTTTCACAGTTACGGAGACTAGCCATGCCTCTGCTTTTTCCCTGCCTGGGCACTCAGCTGGAGTCCAAGATGAAGCCTTCAAAGAGCTGGAAAGGCTGCTGGGTGCAGACCCATGTGTGTAACACCATAGTGACCCAGATAAGGCACTGAAATTGTTTACCACTAATGAAACCTCCATGACTTTTTCAACAGCAGTGTTAGAAAAGGCTTTTATAGATTCTTTAACACAGAGCAAACACATTTTATCAGTCACATGAATGAATGTGTTTGCCTGACTAAATTGCTATATGGTACCAGGGATTTTCCTGTCAATCTGTAACTAGGAGGCTGGCTGGAGAAGAATCACTTTGCCACCTCAGTTAAGTATTCACTGGGGCCTGCAGAGGAGAATAGCCCACATATTCATGGAAAGTAATTAATGGAGGAGGAGGCTGAGGTACAGCTTCAGAGAAAGAACAGGAGCACTTCTGAACATGAGAGATATCGGGAGAAAGGGCTTATTGCAGAACATTTTATTTTCTGAGTGCTAACTTTCGCTGTAACTTAAGAAACCAGACTACATGTGCTTTCCAGATTCCCTGGTTTTGTGTAGTGAGACGAATCCAGCCTTTCCCACTCTTCTGTTTCTCTTTTCCCACCCTATTCCAGATGTGCAGGCCTGCATAAACCAGCAGGATTCCAATTATAATGATACTTTCCCATTCACTATTCATCCAGTTTTTTCTTGATGTGAAAATGAAATGTGACCCAAAATAACCCAGCTGGGCGGGGGGGGGGGACACACGACACGACACTCTATCATTACGTGCATGCGATTTATTTTTCCAGAGTGTTTTTTTAATTTTATCTTTTTTTTTTTTTTTTTTTTTTTCAAGTACTAAAACAAAACAAAACCCCACAAACAGGAAGAACAAAAAATTGGATGTATGCAGGAGACTCCTATTCAAACCAATGGCATCTGAGGACAGGAATTATCTCCTAGATGGAACAAATGAGCAAGACCCTGATACATAATGATTACTAATTAATAAAAACAATATCAAGACCCATAGTGATGAGAATCAGAAAAATGACTTCTGCAAACAATACGAGCATTCTTGCCAGGGGGAAACAAATGCATAATAAGAAATATAAAGAGCAAAACCTCTGACACTACGTCCTGGAGCAAAATTTAAATTTACTTCAAGATTAGCTTTTCCAAAATCACAGAAATATGGAATAGTATGGAAGAACTGAAAAGTAAAGATTATAGTATTTACCTTACTTTTAATACTGACTAGGGGATTGTAATGCTGTTCTATTTTTCCTTTCCAGGTAAGTTGTGAGAGCAAAAAGAATGCATTGCTTTTTGTTGTGCAGTTTGTACATCAGAACTGAGGTATGTTGCATTCTACAGGCTAAACAAATAATATCCAGAGGCAAGCTGAAGTACAAGTCAGAGTTGTAAGTTTTTTTCAATTCCTGTGCACTTTCCAGAAAAAAAGGAGCAGTTTTTAAAGAGTGAGCCATGGCATTTTGAATCTGGTAAGAGGCTGAATGAAAGTATGAAGACTTTGAAAGAAAGCCCAAGAAAAGACCCAGAGAAGAGAGTAAAGAGCCTGATACAGCCAATGGTCATATGTCTCCAGAAAAATTGATCGTTTAACATCAATTTGAAGAAAGCATGGCTGACTTTCTTTTGCTTTCTTTTGCATTTATCTGAAAAGCTGTCAAAAGTGCTTTCCTACAACAGCCTTTTGGGTTTTGTTGAAAACAAAGTCTTTATAAATCTTGTGATAAAAGAGTCAATGGGGAAGTTGATTTGATTTTTGTTGTTCAACAAGCCAAGGTTAAAGGATTTTTGTTAACAGAGTCACTGCTCTGACAATTAAACTCATCAGGATAAATAACAATGTGCTGAACTATTCTAAAGAAACTGTTTTCAAAATCAGCTGTTTGTAATGACTTTACCTTTCAGGTGTGGATAGCACCTGTCCTGTGCCAAAGTTAGTCTTAAGGTCAATGAAAAGGTTTCAGGAGATCAGAGGAGAAAGTTGTGTCCTGATGTAAAGTCCAATGGATCCAACCACCTTCTCAAAACAAGGTGCTCCAGGTAAAGTTCTCAAACTTATTACCCCAGTTCTGCATCTCAGGAGGTCCTGGCCCTTAAACAACTAGATTAAAGTTCTGTTCAACAAAACTGTCGCATATCCATTAAGTTCAAAAGTTTGTTTACCTTAACTGTTTTAGACACTTTGGTCTCATTCTTCTTTCCATCTCCATAAGCTGCTGAGGTTTTTAATGGCTGCATATGGTCTCACTAAGGGTTATTTAGTACCTTTGAAAAATTGAATTGCTAATTACTGTATCCTTCCAGGAACATGCAGGGTGTAACTCTGCAGCAGTGGTGGAAGGTGAGGATGATTTTTCTTACTTTTTTTTTTTTCTCTTTTGACATTTATTTAGTCACATACTTGTTATTTTCAAATCCTATTTCTAATGCATTTTGAATAAAAGACAGTATAATCTTATGATAGGGGAGAACCATGTAGTTGACTGCATATCTACAGACCTGTTGACAAGTTACCAAATGTTTCAATAGGAGTGCCATGCTTTGTCATATTTCTGAATAGAGGACTGTAGGTTCCAAATAACTTAATCTTTTTAGAGTTTGATTGTATAATTAACATTTTTCCTAGAATATTTTCTTTGTAAAACACTGAGGTATAGTTGGAAATTTTTTTATGCTCCTCTTCTCGGTTAGTATCATTGTCTGAACTAATAATAATCTGTGCCTTTGGCAGTTTCAGTGATTGAATTTTTGCAGAACCTGATGCTCTGACCAGAGCAGTGACATACTCAATTATATACATTCTCATGGGCATACGTATATAATTTTAATAGACTGGCTTGAAATCTAGCTCTTTACCATTAACACAAAAACTGGGCTCAGGTGTTATTCATGTGAAAATTCTTGTTTACACTAAAGGACATTTCCTAGCACTGGGCTAATCTATAAACCTAGAAATAACTGAGATTTGCCTTGCAGCACTTATGCAAGAAACTACACAGCAAAATGTGCCTTCTGAATTCACACAAGCCAGAAGAGTTGCCTGTTGGTATTACTTCTCATTTCTCAATGGAACCTGATATTCTAATTTTTCTTATTTTTGTATATTAGGAAATTAATATAATGGTGGCATAGGTAAGAAGAGAAAGTCACAACGGAAGTCTGTTGGATCTTTGTGACTTCAGCCTCCATCTTCTGATACAGTCTTTTCCTGTGCTGGCTGACAGTACCAGCCCAGGAGTTTTTCCTTTCACAGTGGTGCTGACCTACCTTGTGGAATGAAAATAATAGATGTTCTCTCTTTCATTCATCCTACTGAATACTTTCATCCAAAATTAAATGATGGAACTTCTTCCATGCTGGTTTCAAGCTGGTGAAACTCATACTGAGTTCACAAGTTTTTGATGGCTGATAGCTGGTGGGATAGAAGGACCAGGCTCATGAATTCTGCTTTAGAAGCTTGGTTTAAAAAACAAGTTACATTTTAAAAGGCTGAACATTTGCTTGTACACTTGACAAGATTTTAAACAAGTAGGCAACCAGCAATGTCTTCTAGTCCCATGGAAACGGCTGTAGAAAAAAAAAAGACCTTCCTCCATTGAAAAGTGATTAGTTTAAAGCATTCTGTCCCATTTTTGGCAGTTTGATGGCAGTTTCCATGGGGATGGGCATAGAGGATTGCTGAAGTGTTATTATAACTCCTGCAAATGCCACAGATGGAGGTTAAAAGATCTAAATTGTATTTCAACAGCACCTGTAAATATATTAATTTGGGGAGAGGGAGAAGGGAAAGACAACAAAATGTTTTTCCTCTTTCTCCATCTGCAACACATCTCTGATGAATGTCTTAACTATTCAGAATAAAATAAAATGATCCTTTTGGCTTCTCATTCATAGTTCTGCAGTGTAGCAATATCTACCGCTTTGCGAACATGATGAGCAGGGGTGTCAAATTTCTTTAAAAGTAGATATTGTTACGCTGATTTTATAAATTGGGCAGCTGAGTCCAGGAAATGGTTAAGTGGCCAGAAGACCAGGGATTTTGGATATTGCTGGAAAAACACTGTCTGCTTGTTTCTGAAGACCTGGCTAGGTGACTGTACAGCTCAAATAATGACCTTTTTTTCAGGATTCCTATCTCAGGGCCCTGGGGGCACCAAGAGGCCTCAGTGCCCCTGCCAGGCCCCAAGGGCTCCCCCAACCTGCCCACAGCCCGGGGCCATCAGCCTCTGCCTTAGTGACCCTGCAGCAGGCCCTGGGCTCCAGCTCCCCATGGCCCTGCCCCGCCCGGCCATGGGCTGTCAACATCCTGGCCTGGCTTTGTGCTGTCCCCGTCCCCAGCGAGCTGCTCTGGGCTGGGGCTGCCCCAGTGTCCGCCAGATGCTCAATCCTGGCTGGGGCAGCGGGACAGGCGCTGGCTGCCAGGCTCTGCCTGGGGGACCCTCACAGGGAGGTGCCGGCCCAGGCAGCGCCCTGGCAGCGAGCCCAAGCGGGGGCCGATGGCCCCAGGCTGGGCTGAAATGGAGTCTTGGGCCATGGGTAGGGGACGGGAGGCTCGGAGTTAGCAGGGCAGAGGCAGGCAGGGCTGCAGGTACCCTCAGGGCCTGGGCTGCTGGTGACAGCCAGTGACAAGTGCAAGAGTTTTCTTGAGAGTTGATTTTTTTAAGCTTTTCAGCTCTGGCATTTCTGAAAGAGAAAGATAAATTTTGTAGCTTCTGAAAATGACTTAAAATCCAGTGCTGCGCCATCGTGGCTTTCTAACATCTCTTGCTGTCTGTGATGTGGCGAAATGATGGCATTTGAACCCAGTGCTCTCTCTGTTTCATCTGACAGTTGGGCCTGAAACCTGACAGGTTTGAATTGCTCGTGCTTTGATAATTTTTGCATTCAGTCAAACAGATACCTAAAGGGATTTTTTGAAGAGGAGGAAGGGAGATTTGGAAAGAGAGAAAGAGAATACACAATTCTGACAGACGCAAGCTGAGAAAAAGTCTTCTCGTCACCCTTCTTTGTTTTTCTAGTTGGCAACGTTAAGGACATAGTTTGTGACTATGAATTGTAAAGTGTTTATGTGGAGATTAAAATCTCCTCAATAGATTCATGACATGAAAAAAAATTGCTATGTGGATTGCTCATGGAAAATCTAATTTTAAACAGTGTTACTTAGCTGTGATTTGTCGGAGAGCCGTATGGTGTCATTCCTCATCTGATGTGATAAACATTAGGTGCTACTACGTATTCTGTACTGTCTTGTAATTTCCTATGAAAGACATGGGATATACTGAAGAATAGATATACTGGCCTTCATTTAATGTTGTCTCAGTACTCTATTATGTAAATATAATTTTTTTTTTGCCTATGGGTATTTGTGACAAATACACAATTCAACTATTAGTTCCAGTTTCTTTTTTAAAAATATATTTGTCAATCTTAATACATTTCAGTTTATCTTTCCTCTTTTAAGTTGTGCTGTGGTATTCTTTGCAGTTACAGCTGAATTTAATTTTAATTTCAAGCTGACTCCTAACCTAATCAACATTCAGCACATTTTTATGGTCTGCCTAAATCTATTTAAATGAGGAAAATATTCTTTCCACTGTCCTATTTGGATAGAAAAAGACATCAATCATTTCACAAGTGGTAAGAAACTGAGAGAACAAAGGTTTAAAGGTGAACGTTACATAATTACTTAGTGCATTACTCTTGGCGTGAGTGATTAGTGTCTATTTGTTTTCAAACTTCCATCTGTAGTTTTATGACTTCATGAAGAGTCAGCTTTGTTAGAATTGCTGAATCACTGTGGAAGTGTCATTTGCTGAAGTTCAAATCTGAATTTTAAATTTTCTGATTTGTTTTTTGGATAGGTGATTAAATAATAGCAGACCTTTTTTTGATCAAATAATTTATGTAAATTGTTTCACTTTGGTCAGCAATAAATGGCACAAACAATGACTAAAGAAATGCTTGATCTCACAAAGAAATCCAGGAATTTCAGAAAATCTGTGAAGAAGACAATCACAGGTTGAAGGATAATCACATGCTCAAGGGGAAAAATGCACATTATGCATAAATAATTTTGACATGATTTTATTATATGCTGTTCAGGGTTGAAGGATGACTTACTGATAATGCACCTTGGTGGCTATTTGACTGAAAGCAAATATTTGCCCTCATTTTCAGTTAATTTGTAAACAAAGTTGAATTGCTAACAGTAACACCACTCCCTATAAGTGGTTCTACATTGTCAAAGTTGAAGTGGGATTTTAGTTTATGCTATATTTTCAAATATTTTTAGTTAAGTTCACTGTTGACTGAAAAAGATCAAATTGAAAATTAATTACGAATCTTTCATATGCATATCAATAAACAGCTTTCAAAACTACACTGAAATTGTTGTGACTGGACACCTCAGTCCCAAGAGAAGGTTAAACTCTGTTACACTAAATTTTTAGTAATACACACCTCTGAAGGAAGAGCTAATACAATGGTCAGAATAGTAAACTTTTTTCTAATACGATATATAAATTAAATCTGGAGAAACTTGGAGAATTATATTATTTAATTTACTGTTGCAATCCAGTGGTTTGTATGAATGACATAAGACATTCATACAAACTGTGGTACACTTTCATTGTTTTGGTAGCACTTAGTTTTCTTTTATGTGATTTAAAGTTTTTGGAAAAAGAAGAAATTTTGTTTTAGAGCCTATGCTGATTTTTTCCCCCCCCTTTATTCTGTACCAGGGAGTTCACTGCTACAAAAAAACTGAGAAACTTCTGCATAAACTGAAGACCTGTGGCAAATGTTTGTCTTTATTTAGCTATGTGAGGTGATCTTCCAACTCACTTTGGAAAGAACAAGTTGTCTTTTTAGGGATTGGATGTCAGTGGGATGTAATCATTAGAGTAACTAGCGTGTCTGTGATCTGTGAAAGGAATGTAACAAGCTAAAAGTTCCCAGGTAAAGCCAACCTTTGGTCCTGATCACTTTGCTCTGTACTTTCAGTGTGTTGGGCCAGTAGACTCTAGACACCACGCAGAATCTTTCCCACAGAAAGTATGCAGGATAAATCTTCAAATACTAAATGATTTAACATACAGGAAAATCCTGGCTAAACTAATTTTAAGGCAGACTAGAGCTATTCTAGAAATTTACTTCACACTTCTTTTCCTTTGCATTTCAGTGGCATTTCTAAAATGAGTTAATGAAATAATTTAGAATATTTGGATTTTAAAGTACTGCAAAAGTGTAACCTTTTGTTTTGGGGAACAAGTACATTTGAATGAATTTCAAACAACAGTTCTTTGGAAGCTGGGCAAAAGAAACATTTCTAGAAGTTTTCTTTCTCTTTATATCCTATTTCTGTACTTGTATGTACAAAAATAGAAGTCTATAACATCAATATTCAGAGTAAAATTTGAATGAGGAAACTATATAATTGGGCAAGTTAATGCAGATAATTTATTTCTAATATTTTCTTATTTTTCTATTAGTTTTTGTTGATAAGTTCCTGCAGTGAAATTCTACACTGGAAATGAAGTTATTTAATATTTATATTTTGTTTTGATCTTTAAAGATGAACAAGAAATTAATAAAATAAGGGATTGTTCTTAAAATAAGGGAGAGTCATTCTGTTTTGGACATTTTCTGACTTTCTGAAAAATTAGCTGACTTTATTTTCCCACTGTAACTCTGTTTCTTGTCCCCTAGTCTTTAGTCTATAATTATCTTTCCAACTGAAAAATAATTTTTTCTGGAATTCTTAGATTTACATGTATGACAGACTCCACAGACAGGTCTCAGGAGTGGAAGCTGCTTGCAGATATCCTGAGTTATCTTTTGAATGTAAAGATTTTATTTGCAAACAGCAAGTTACTCTTCAGTATAATTATAATTAAAATAAGCTGAAAGTTCCAATGTTTAGAAACGTAGATGCACGTGTATGTATGTAGTCTGCATATATATTAATTTCCTCTTCCCAAAATATCAGAAGGATCTTGGGTTCCAAGAGTTTCTTACTAAGGGCAATGAGAAACAGAATGAAAAACTTAATCGGTGACTTTATATGTTGAATTCTAGCAGTTGGTACAACCCATCACTTCTGGAAACAAAGTATGAATAGCTGAGTGGGACTCTTCGTGTGGTAAACTGTGTGTACAGAGATTTCTAAATATAGATGTCATAATTCAGAGTCAGTTACTGTCAGTCAAATCAATATAGATCTTAAAAGTGTCTGAATATATTTTTGATGTTGAAAAATAAGAGCAGTTACTGAAATTTCAGCAACTATGTGGTGTGCTTTGAAAAAACTGTGTGACTGTTTACCCATGCCTTAATAGCCTATGATAGAAATTGATGTGACTGTCCTGATATCTGCATCTCTATATTTAATATATATATATATATACACTCATACACACAACACATTTTTCTGGTCTAAAAAAGAAAGGCCTATAGTGGAAAGTGTTATCTCTTGCCATGTCCAAAGCTGGCAGTGCATTTTGACCAGCTGACATCTGCCCTCACATGTAGGAAATTCCTTTTTCAGTATACAAAGCAATAAAAAGACCTCTTGTGCATTAACATATATTTTATCCCTTTTAATTTTGACTTTGTTTTAGTGACACAACAAGAAGTCTGAGTTGGACCTGTGACTGCATTTTATGAACACTGATCTTTTTTTGGCTGAAAATCTGGTAATTATGATGAAGTTTATTCATAATATAACCCCCATCTTCTCATAAAAACTCTATGGACATTTCATATTAGGAGGAGAATGGGGAAGAAAGACACAGAAGGCAGAGCAATGTGTAACTGCTGTTCCCTCCTTATGATTTTCTCCTTACATCTTAAACATTGATTGTGTGCTATGTACTTTTCTGTCAGATCAGACTGACATATGGGGTGGGGTAAAAGTCAGGAGAAAGGTTATTCTACAAGCTGTAAAACAGTTCTGCTGTTGCTGGGAAAAAGAAAAAGAAAGTGTTCGTGTATTTAGAAGAAGCTTTCGTCTTAGGGAAACACCCCAGTGTGATTTCGGTATAGTATAGATTAACTTCCCATTCATCTGTTTCAATATTTTCTGTCACATGTCTATTAATTATATTTGTTGCACTAGCAGTTTTCAACCTCTAATGTCCACCATAGCCCACCTGCTCTGCTCACAAATCCAGAGTCCAAAATATTGAATTGACTCTGTCACAGTTCCTTCCCCAGAAGGTAGATGTCATCTGAAATGTTTGCCTGTGAGTGGTCTTTTTAGCCAGAGAGGCTACAGCCCTTCAGTGAGAATAAGGTGAACCACCCAGTCTCCCCATGGGGAAGATACAGCTATTGGCTTCAGACTGGAAACATTCATTTGGTAAAACCACTATAGTTGAGAGAAATATACTCAGATAACTGGAATCCCAAACAAAACCCCAAACCCCAAACAAAAATAAAAGGGTTTTAAATGGGACCAAACCACGAACGTTGTGTTCTATTCTGGGCCTTATATTAACAGGAGGTATAGTTGACCTCAAGGGAACAGGAATAACACAGGTATTACAAGTATCACAATAGGGTAAAAGACCAGCTGAGACTCAATGCAGTAGCTCAAAAAACATTTTTAAAGGCTAAAAATTCCAAGCAGAAACATTACTCTGTGTAGCATATGAAATGTGTAAATAGTAGGGACTTCTCTGTCCCTTTCTCAGCTAAGCAATTTTTCAGCATAATCTGGTTTTCTCCTGTGATTCTTTTGGATTTTTTTCTTACTAGGCCCGGCAATATCAATTATTATGTGACCCTCTCTCCAGCAGGGCAGGTCAAGCTTCTATAATCGAGTATGTTCAGCTCCATCATAATGGAAATAGAAATGTCTCATGTAAGAGTGAAAAGCAGAGGAGGTCTGTTTACAGAGCTGTGGCAATATGTGCACAACAGAGCAGCAGAACATACTTAAAGGAGCCAAGCTTTAAGACAGGGAAGGAGGTAGACTAGATGGTTTTAAGAGGTCATTTCACCTCTAGCTTGTCATGTAATGTCTCAAATTATGTCTGTGTTCATATAATACTTTTTATCTGTGATGTCAAAGTGCTTTTACAAAGTCAGGTAGTACTGTCTTCATTTAAAAACAGCAAAGTCATGCCAAGATGCATAACAAAGGGGAAATCTAAAATAAATATATATTTCCTCACCAAAAAATAAAAGTCAAAATGCTGCATAACAAAATTTTGTAACAAAAAATTGTACTGTAAGAGCCCATCACAACAAGACTCCAGTCTTGAAGTCATAAGGAGCATTTCCATGCAGTGTGGCCCCAAGTTCAAATTTCAGTTTTCATTCCACTGCCATGTAATGAGGAATAAAAGCTGTGTCTTGCCAAGACAGCTCGGGACAAATAGTTGATCTTTCTAGAGCTTTTGGACTGCTGCTGTTGCCTTGCCTCGGTTCCCCATGAGGAACTCACCTTTCTTCTCCACTGTGTCTGCAAACAATTCAGTAAAAATTCATGATATACATTCCTCTTTTCTAGTGACTGTATACTGAATACAGTATAATTACAAGATGCTGCTGATTGGATCTAGTACTGTTATATATTCACCTTTCACAAGGTGTAACAGATTTGGAGAATGTGATCTAGTCCTTTTATTTCCTCTTGCCTTCTTCCTGCTCTTGGTAACAGTTATCTTCAGTTGAAAAAGCTATAATGTGGTGAGTTAAGAGATTTCGTGGTAACTGACAATTTCGTTTTGTTTTCCAGGAGGGAAAGTGCAAATTTACTTGAACTGCCCTGACTTCAGGGCATATTTCTGTTGATGAGGTGTTTTTATGAGCAGCAAGCAGGTATGATTTTTAGTAGAAAACAGAGATACAGGGAAAAGTTTCTTAATAAATAGAAAGTCCAAAGAAATACAATCACACAGTAGGGATTAATTTCTTAAAATGTATCCATGCTTATGCTGCAGACACTCTTCTCCTGCTGTTTCTTCAACTCACATATAGAGGTGTAAAGGTGTGCAGTTGAAGTGGCTTTTGTACAACTAATTATAAAACAGGACCTCAGTTAGTTTGTCACAGAGATTTTTTTTTTTTTTTTTCCTGCAAGGACTCATCAGAGCTTCACAACAGTAGCATTAATTGTAATTCTCAGTATGTAAAATGAAAATGTGGATTTATCTGTGCTAAGCAAATTCTCCAAATAGTGACTACTGGGATTTAGAAAGTTTAAGATCTAAAAGGTGTTTGTCAGTTTGGGGTATATCTGAACCCTCGATTCCCCCTCCTCAACAGTCGTTCACATAGTGTGTTTGTTTTGTACCTCTATGGTCTTGAAAGAGAGGGGGAAATACAACTGTGTAGGAGATGATGTCAGCCTTTCTGTTATCAAAAGATACAGTGAGTATGTGTGTGTGTGTGTTTGGGAAAAAGGAAAATATATTGGCTTTGAACCCAAGACAGACAGCTGTGTATGCCATGCCACTAGTGTTGCTGGATCAGTACAGAGAGAGGAAAAAAAAATAATCCTTTGGACCCTCTGCTTCTGCAGCTGTCGGACAAAGGTCTGAGCTTCCTGCAAACACTGTGAAGATATCGTCTCTCAAAGAGTCTAGGGAAGCTTTATAAAAGCAAAGAGATGGAGGGGAAACCTCTCCCTCTCCCTTTCTCCCTCCCATCTACAGGGCACTCATCCACTGATGTGCCAGAAATGAAGTGATTTTCTGTCTGCTCTGCCTATACAGCTTCATTTCCTGTGCATGCTTGGGCCCAAATCCTCAGCTAGTTTGGCACAGCTCTTCTCAAGTCAATGGAACTGCCCCACTCAGGACCTAGCAGCTGAGGATACAGGCTTCAGTGTTGTTATTAGGCGCTCTGGCATGCTGAATGCAGAGAGGAGCATCATGCTGGTCTGTGTACCCTTTGACTAGGTGAGCAGGTCTGACAGCTACAAAGAGAGTAGATGCGAGCTTTGGAGAGGGGATGTAGTTTTCTGGGAACTGAGTCCTAGCTGTTGTTCTGTGTTTACTTCAAGGGGGAAATCCAGACTGCTGGGTCAGAGTTAAATCCTTTGGGAAAGTGCAGTTTTGATGAGTCTGATAGTCTGAATGTATGCACTCTGAATTTTTGTAACCATTTATTTTCTCTCCTGACAGAAACTAATCCCAAATCTGGATTTTTGTTTTCTTTTTTGTATTTTGTGCTTGAATTTCTGCCACATTACACCTGGGGGGACTTGAGCATTTAGCCACGTAATGGGTGATTGAGCTTAAGAAAGTATACATTTTCTGCACCTTAATCATTCTAAAGACCACAAAACTACATCTAATGCATTTGTAAACCAGTCACATGGAAAGGAAGGCCTGGAAATATTGAGCAAACTGAAATCACTTGCTGACTGTTTTGAGAAATTCTTCCACTTTTTAGGTGGAATGTAGCAACTGTTAAACAGTACATGGCAACCACAGAGACAGTCTGGGACAGGATGGGAGACAGGAATACAATATTCTTGTGGGAACTGTGGGGGAAATAGAGAGAGACAGACTGCCGTGTAACAAACTCCAGGATCTGTGCAGAGGAATGCACAATTGCAGGGACTGGGGGTGGAAGGAAAGAGAGGAATAGGAAAAATAGACTTCCCCTCCGTGAAATGGATATTATTTAAAACAATAGCTGAGAATTTCTCAAATCACCAAAAAATATGATGCTGAAGAATACAGAGACAAACACACAGCTGAAGAAGGAGAATGAGAGAGCAAGAAAAATCTCAAAATCTGCTGGATAGTGCTGGTAATTTCAAGACTACAGAAGGAATACTTGTTCTAATACGTGAGCTTCCTTGATACTAATTAAAAGTACATGGAAGAGAATTTTATCAAAATTGTTATCATGGAACACAAAACTATGGGGATTTCCAAGTGGGGACTTCCTAAACGGAACTTTAAATAAGACTTTTTTTTTTTTTTTTTTTTTTTTTTTTTTTTTATCTTTTTAAGGCTGTTGCTTTGTACTTGCAGTTATTTTCAATTGAAAATGCTAATTCTGAGCCTACAACCACATAACTAAAAGGCAGGTTTTGAAAGAATTTTGCTCCCACTTTTATCCTAGGATATGTGACAAACACTCAAAATCTTTTAGTGTACCTTTTACAAAAGACAGAGCCCCAAGTGTCTGGCTGTAAGCCTTTGGGTACTGAACACTTTCAAAAATCTGAGCCTTCTTTAGCTACCTAATTAGGTACCACTTGTGCATGTGGGGAATGTGAAAAATTGCTTTTTGCCCCAAATGTCAAAAAAGATGCTATCAAGCTCTTTTGTACTCTCTAGGTTCCACTTTGTCTGAGACTGTACATCACAGGTGTCATTCACTGCTGCTTGATCTTCAGGTTTGCTGTGTTCCCCAGAACATGACCTGTGAATTTCTGAGTACTGCTGCTGAAATCCTTTAAGTACTCCACAACTTAACAGACCAAATCTGATGGTATTACCCTGTCATATGCTTGTCCTTCTTCTGGAATTGCTGGAGTATTTTTTTTTCTTTTTCCTGGAGTGAATTTCAAATGTGATTTGACTCAAAATTTTTGCAACTGCTGTTGTTATTGATGCTAGAAAGTGGGGTATGTAGCTATGTTTGAAGAATCTTGATCTGTATGGATGAACTTCTGGGACTCTGTCAACTTCAATGAGCACAGAAATCTGCTTGTGCAGCTCAGGCCCTAATTTCGCAACCAGGACTCTGCTTCGTTTTTCCATAATACAGCATGTCAGCAGAAACATGAAGGGTAGAGCCAAGGGATCCTGGCTCCCAGGCTCCTATGCTTTCTCTGGACAATAGTTTCCCCTTAGAAACCAGTAAGTTATGGACCATGGGCTGCTCCATTTCAAACTATCTTGGGCTTTATGGCTAAAAAGATTTAATAAAATGGGAGTGATTAGTAAAGTATGTTACTGGTGAGGGGAGTGAGGATAGTTAAAACTTATGAAAAGGCTTTGCTTGCAGCAGAAAAGCACAGTAACCACTTAAAAATATCTTTGCTAATGTTTTTATTTTAAAAGTGGAAAAAGTGAGTCAGCACTGAAAGCTCTGTATTCACTGCTATGTCCAAACTCAGCTGCTCTGGAGAGTCTCCCCATTCCCTCCCCCCATCTATGCTGCTGGCACAAGTGAATATAGCTACTCCTAATTTAGCAACATGCAGTTTCTACCTTTGCATGGGCTCTAACAACAATCCTGAGAAGTTTTCTGCTGTAGGATTTTTTTTTCCAAGGTTGTAGCTAATGGTGTCCTCTGTGCAAAAATATAAGAAAAAATAATATGCAGGAATTGCTTTCAGGTGACGAGTGTGTTCTGCTTCCAGACTACTGGAACAAGAAGGTGATGCTGGTGGAGCATAGCTCCAGTAGCAAGAAATCAAATGGATTTTCATATACACTTATCCTTATTTAAACTTGGTCTAGACACTAATTCACTGTGGTCATAACTCTGGACATACCTACAGAAATAAATCTTTCCAAATTCTAGGAGATTTTGTAACTGTGTTCTGGGCTTGATCAGCTCTGATTCTATCCTGTATTTTGCATTGTGATTAAAGGCAGAATTGCTATATTAGAGTGTCTCTATCAGTTATCAGGTCCATAGGAAATAAATAAGGGTGGACTGTTTCCTATTATGAGAAGTAGATGCTGTGGTGTTGTCACAGACGTGTGTGTATGAAAACGTGGAACATACCATCTTCCATCTCCTCATGCAGGAAGTCTTCCTGCCTGGCATGCATCTTTTTTTTTTTTTTTCACTAAGGAAAAGCTATATTCCATATTTTATTGCTTTCATATCTCCTCTGGGTCCCATTCTGACAGGGTTTTCAATGCACACTGCAAGCTGAAGCAAAATACACACCATGCTGTGAAAGAGATATGTTACATAAGAGGTCTCTGAGGCTTACACAGTGCTGGACTGCAGTATAAACTGTCTCTGGGATGGATAAAAACCATCTCGCAACTGAGGATTAACACTGATTCTTGTCAGGGGCTCTTGATTTGAGAGAAGGAAATTTGTGTGTGCTGTTTTAGTGAGTTTTAGCAGCTATATAAACCACAGTTTGAAAGTCTGATGCGTATCTAACCATCAACATGCCCAAACTGTGTTTGATAAAAGGGCCAATGAGCTCCAGTTATGCAGCCCTTACTCCTGTTACTTCTCCCCTGCAACCAGAGAACGACCAGAGTTATTTGCATATAAATCCTGAGTGTTTGGCAACTTTTGCTGCGGCATGAGAGAAAGGGAAAGAAATGCAAGTTCCCCGTAAGTTAGTCTGTGTTTCAGCCACACTACAGAAGATTTAGTTTATCCACCGCTTGACAAGTGATCCCAGCAAGGCAGCTGGGGGTCTGTCTGCAGCTTCTCTGCAATGGCCAGAGCCCAGTATCTGGAACATTGTCTGAAGTTCTGGGGTGACAACAATGGTTGCAGTTCAACCCCTCAAATATTGTGAATTTCACTTTGTGGAGGATGAGATGGAGCTTTTCTGGAGGCCACACCAAAGCTCCTCACCAGACATTCCTAGGGATTGCTTGCTGTGACAGAGCTCACTTACTTCCAGTCTTAATGGAAGACAGGCTGCTTCCACTTTGACTTCTCTAATAGCCCAACAAGCTGCCTTCGAGGAGCACATGCAGGCTGGGAGACATGCTCCAAGACCTTCAGGCAGGGTATTCTAACATATGCACCTTTTTACTTTAGGGGAGAGAACAGAAGTTGTATGTTACTCAAATTTCCTAGTGAACTACTGGTAGGAATTCAGATAGCATGGTAGAAGATGAATACTTTAAATACCTGTATTAAAA